GCACACATCAGGCTGTGCATTAGTATCACATGGGGATCTTTCAAAATATGCTGGTGCCCGAGACCCAACCCAAACAAAAGAAAAATCTGAGAGGACCACCTGGGAGCCTAGATTCCCTCAAATGAGTCTAACTAGTGTGGAGCCATTAAATCATTCCTATTCACCTAGAGGCCTAGTTGAAGGCACATTCCTCCGGGAAGTTTTGCTGAACTTAATCCTGTGCAGGTGACCCACCTCATCTGAGTGCCCGTGGGCCACGAGGGGCGGGCACTGGACACTGATAGCAGCCTGCTTTGCGTCATATGAGAGAGAAGCAGATTCCAGGGTTGGCCCTTCCCTAGCCATATAGCCTCGATTGAGTTACCTAAGCTCTTTGAGACTTTTCTCTTCTACAAAATGGGTTTTAATATTAGTACCTAATATGAGCTACTTCCAATGATGGATTCCAACCTTAAGTTCTGCTCTCCCACTCTGCCCCCATCCCTGCATAGCTCATCTATTTCCAAAACTGCAGGTTTCCACAAGCCCAGTGAATGAACTAGTTTCTAGGGCTCTCTACCCACTTCCCTGCATCCTGCATGGGAGCATCTCCTCAGGAAGATAACATGTCTCCTCATACCTCCTTACAGGAAACCTCCCAAGGTTCCAAATTCCACCTTGCAGGTGCCCATGAGAACAATACAGGGCACACAGTCCCTCCCCGACCCACAGCAGCCTCTCAGCACCCAGGAGGTAGCCCCTTCCTTAGCATTCAATCCAGCCAGATGGGCAGAGCCATGGCTGACTCAGGGAGCAAGAGGAGACATTTACGCAGTTTTCACTATTGAGCAAACCCTTTCTCAGATTTTAACAGTGATCCCTGAGAGATGGGTCATTCCTTCCATCTGCTAGATGCCTTGCCCAATGTTGCAGTCTAGCAAGGTCTAGGGCTAAAACTGAGAGTATCGAGACAATGGAAATAATATAAATGTCCAGTAACAGGGAAATGGCTACATTCATTAGAGTACATCTATATTGTGAAATCCTATGCAACAATTAAAGCCATGTCTTCAAATAGCTTTAGTAACATGGGGAAAGTTTCACAGTAGGTTAAGTGAAAAAAGCAGGACATAGGATTTGACCTCTGCTTTGTGATAGAAAAGTATTTACTGGTATATATACCAATACAGATTGCATACAGATCTGGAATAGTGGGCCTCCCTGGTGGCGCAAGGGGTTAAGACGCAACCTATGAAGCTGTCCGCTGCCACTGCAGCACGAGTTGGATCTCCCGCCAGGGAGCTACCCACATGGCGCAGCAGACCTCTCCTGTCTCGCCCGCTGCTCCCCTCAGCAGTGTATTTCAGTCAGTCTGTCTGTTCTGTTCCCCTCTCTGTCTCTGGTGAATCCTCTCACCCCCACCCCATTCCTCTGGCCTGTACCCCAGTTCTTGTATGCATAAATAAACAAATCTTTAAAAAAAAAGATTTGCAATAGTACTAAAGCTATTTCTAAGTTGCTCCTGGTCCTCCGCTGAAACAGGCCCCTCCGTCCAGCCCCGCCTCTCCAAGGTTGCCTATACAAAGTGAATGAGAGAAGCATGCTGACTATGAGTCTATACCCGGCTTCTGGTTTGAGAACCACATGTTTGTGGAAAATGATACCAAGGGGAAGAATAATCAGAGTACTGCCAGTCGGTGGTGTTTATAAAGTTTTTATTTTCTGTTTTCTTAAAAATAACATTTGATTTCCTTTATGCGTGTGTGGAGTGTACTTGTTTCCTTAGGCTGAGTAATAGGCAGATAAAGACAACATGAGGCAGGGTCCCCAAGTGAAGGTGAGGTTAGGATGCCAGGGGATGGGGGGCACAGGGGAAAGGGAGAAGGTGGGGTGATCCACGGGACGCTTGAGTGCCCACCAATGCACACACATGGTCTAACACTTTGTTTTTCAATTTTTTTTTTAAAGGACATCTAGAATTACTGAGAGATACAATTTCAGCACTTAAATATACAGACAGAAATCCAAGCACTTGAACACAATTCTTAACTCTAAGCTCAGTTATTGCACATAACACAGTTTAAGTAGGCTTCAGGCTATAAAGCAGTTTGCTCTGCTTGGGACTTCCTTGGGATGTCGCTAGTCCCCTTTTGCAACCCCAGTGTCTCTTCCCTTTGACCTCTGCCAGCCCCCAGCCTCATAATCATGCCAGGTACCAAGAGATTAGCCATTTCCTTCTCCCCAAGGGCTAAGGGTGAGGCTCTGGTAAATGAAGCATTCCCACATTGATACCAATGGACCCCACCTACTCATTGGCAAAGTTGGAAGCAGGTGGAGCTCATGAAAGGCTGAGGGGGTGGCCTGTCCACCAAAACCAGGCAGGCTGGCATGAGGAAGGGAATGTGACCACTCGCCATGGGAGGTGACAGCCCCTGCAGAATAACAGGGGTCCAGCCACAGCACCCCGGCACACGCTAATCAGCTTCACCTCCCTCTGAGCTTCACCTCCTTCCTGAGCCCCCACGCTTTGCCTCCTTCTACATCCCCCTTGGGCCCACTCTGAGGGTCTCTCAAGGCACATTTGCTCTCTCCAACTGCAACCTACCCCATCTTAGACATACGTACCCAGCTTTCCCAGGGCCGAGCAAGAAATGGTTCTTTTAAAATTTGGCTGAGTTCCTTCCAATGCAGCCTAATTCCCTTGCCTGGCTAAGCCAGGGGAGTGAGGACAGGATGGAGAGAGGACATTCGGATAAAGGGGAATTCGAGGGACCAGGTGGCAAACAGCTTGTTCAAGGGCATGAATCCAGGAGCTGAGGAAGAACCAACCGGCACCTCACAAGGAAACCTAAGTCACTCAGAAGCCTGCAGCCCACGGGAACAAGCTGGGTGGCTTCAGTCTCAGAGAATGGGTAAAAAGCAGTGTGGGGGCTTCAGAGACAGGGTAAGACCAGATCCCTAGTCCCTCCTGGGTCTAGTTCAGCGCCTTTTGCTTTCTTTCTACAACATATTTACAAGGTCATAAAAATGTGCACAACTGGAAGACCCAGAGACACAAAGAGAGCACATACCCCCAGGTGGGGAGGGCAACAGTGAGAGGAGAGGGGTGGCCCTTCCTCTCTGCCACCTTCCCACCCCAAAATGCCCCAGCATCCTCCACAGCTGCCCCCAGGAAGACAATTCCAGAAACCTGAACTGGGACAGAAGGAAGAGACAGATTCCAATCCTAGCAAAAGCAGGAAGTTTCAAGTAGCTCTGAATGAAAGGAGCACTGCTCAGAGAACAGAGGGCATTTCCCTGAACTGAGCCGGGGACCAAAAGGAGGAGAGGGTGGGCAGGGCGCGGGAGGTGGGGGAGACAGGACGCGGGGGATCTGGAACAGCGCTAGACACCTTAACAATCAGAACTGTGCTGTGGAATGAGAAGCAGTTTATGGGGCTAACTGCAGTTTCATTATTTTCCCCAAGAGAGGGTGTGGAAGATGTTGATTCTGGGGTAGAGCAAAGGGGCGGACCAGGTGAGGTTCTTCCATGGAGTTCAGTAACACAGCGAGTGCTGCAGAAGCCGGGGAGAGCCAGACTGGAGCCTTGCCCAGGGAACCTCAGGGCGCGGACCCCTTACCCTGCAGCCCACTCACTACATGGTGTCTGTACGTTCACCCCAGGCCCCCAGGGATGGCCCCTAGGCTCACACACAAGCACACATGCACATGCACGCGCGTGCACGCGCACGCACGCCCACACACACACAAACACACACACCACTCACCATGCACTGACAGGCATCAGAAGCTCAAGTCCAGGTAAGAAATTCTTCATCAAAGGTATTAAAGAATTTGCTTCAACAGGGAAGACTAGACAGAATGGAGGGAGAGAATGGGGCAGCTTCTCATCCTTCCTGCCCCTATCCAGTAAGGAAATGATTTGGGGGGACGGCAAGGTGTGCCTCAGAGCCTCACCACTCCAGTCCCATTTGGCTTTTCATGATTCCTGAACAGAGTTTTGGAGAAGCCTCTCCACTAGAGCAGCCCCAGAGGACTCTCAGAGGGACAGTCAAATCCCAGGAGCTGAGGATGGTGGCGCTGGAAGTGGCCATGGAAGCCTCTCCCTTGAGAGGAGGTGGAGAAAGGGCAAGAGCTCAGGAGAGAAGGAAGGATACAGCTTTCCACTCATCCTCCTTCAACAGGGCCTCAGCGATAATCCTTTCTGTTGGCCAGGGTGGGAGGGGAGCATTTAGTTAGGGAGTCAGAAAGGAAGAGGCACACAACCCCCCCCCCTTTGGCCAAGATCCAGGCTCTTCATTTTCTGCTTGATCCTCAGACTCCCAAAAAGGACAAGGGAATCGAGTAATGGGGATGGGGGGCAGGTGCCACTCTCCATGGGGTCAAGCAGAACTCACCTGCATCACTACTTCCTCCAATGGACAGCTCACACCAGACCCCCACCTGAGACCCACAGAAAGGGCCTTGCTATTCTGGGGTCTGACATTCACGGCTGCCCCATCTCCACTCCTAAAAGCTCTTCCCTGGATCTTCAGCAGTAGTGTCCCTGCTGAGCTGGCCCCTTCCCTCTTCTCCTCACACTCCACTCCACACTGGGCAACATCAACAAGGTCTTCCCCTTCCCCTGGCCCGTGCTCCTGCCCCCAGCTCCTTCTTGACTACCTCTGGTCATATCAGTTGGTTTGGGAAAGTTTTTCTAGTGCTAGGGAGTCCAACAAAGGGAAAGGGCTTGCTGTGGAGAATGCTCACCCCAACTCATCTGAGCCTGAAGAAGAGGGTCACAGGCAAATTGACCCAGCTTCAGGAGAACCCCCAACCAGCAGACAGCCCAATGCCTTCCCTCCCCTCTGCAACAGGAGACACCGAAGGGCCAGAGCTCCACCCTAGAAGGGGGAAGGAGAAGGCAGGGCTGGCTAAGCAGAGAACAGCAAATCAGGACAAGGATGTCAGGGTGGGGCTCAATGGGGCTAGGGGACTTGGCAAGGGGGAATCTTGTTGCTTTCATTTTGACCTAGCAGTGTGCGTGTGAATGTATTATTTTTTAAACCAACAACAAAGGGAAAGAAAACAGCTAAAGGAGGCTGAGGGGGACTTTGGGTGACTCACTCTGCCTGGAGCAGTGCGGACCAAGGACACATTTATCAGGGTGCGCGTGCACACACACACACACACACACACACACACGAGCGTGTGGTCTCACATCCCAAATATGCACACACGGTCATGCACACTCACACACCCAGTCCTCCCCATCGAAGCCAGGGTCCTTCCAACTGTATTTTCCGGATCCATTTGCTAAGCTGCCTGCTTCTGTCCAGGTCTCCGCTGGCCCGTCTCCCCCGGCCGTCAGCACCCTGGCCTTCCATGGCTCCCCTCGGCCATCTACCAGATGTAGCCTCCGTCATCGGCCTCGCCCGCCTCTCCCTCCTCCTCCTCAGCCTCCTCGCCTGCTTCCTCTGTCTCCTTTTCCTCCTCATCCTCCCAGCCAACGCCGCTCCCAAAGTCCCCAGAGAAGCCCACGATGTCATCTGTGAGGTGAACAAGCCAAGAGGCAGGTTAGGACCCTCCTGGCTGCCTCTCCCCGCTGCGGGTGGGGAATCTGCCACACCGAGCTAGAACAACCCCGCCCCCCAGACTCCCTCCCAGGCCCAGGTGCAGGTCCAAGGCTTCCCATGAGGCTGCCTGCCCTTACCACAGTCGGGACTCCCATGGGTGCGGGTGCCTGTCAGCTCCAGGCCCAACTGGTCCACACACCAGCAATCACCACTGCTCTGGTCACACTGCATCTTGCGGTAGTAGCCATCCTCATCACAGCTGGGGATGAAGACTCCTGAGCGGGACAAGGCCCAGCAGGGTCAAAGCAGGGCCTTGGGTGTGGGCTCTTTGGAGAGGAGGCCCAAGAACTTTGACACAGGCCAAGGCCCGGACCCCACCAGAGTCCAGCCAGTGAGGTACTGACCAACCAACAAGAAAGATATCCAGGGCTTGACTGACTAGAGAAAACCCTCTCCCCCAAATGACCTACTCAGGCTCTTGTGATGTTCCCATTCACCTCCCGTTTCCTCAACTCTAGCTCAGGTCTTGTAGGTCAGCCAGTCTGAAATCATGTTCAATGCCCTGGATCCCACAGCTCTTCCTCTGGTCTGGCTGCTGCTGCCAGCAATGCATAGATTTCTCTCAGACACTCTGATTTGGATCTGCCTTCAGGGCCCACCCATTTTCCCGCAGACCCCAGAACTGCTGCTGCTCTGTCCACTCAACAGATGCTTTCTGAAATCAGTCTGGGGACTGAGATGGACTCTGCCCACTAGGGGGATTGAAACACATATAGAATTGGTGATACCAGGTATCACATGATGGGCGCCGAGGCCCAGCAAGCACGCTCAGGGACCACAGACCAGAGAGGATTGCTGTCGTGAGGGATGGTCATGGTGGCTCCCAGCAGAAGTGGTGCTGATACCTGCCCTTAAAGGGGACTGGGCCAGTGGTCAGTATGGCTCTGGGAAAGTTCCGGTGTGTGCTTTTATGTGTACTGGTTTTGTGGACCCACTTAAATGAATGCCCAGCTGCTCTCAAGGAACTATGAGGTGCAAGTGACCTGCCCCCAGGACCTCTGCCCCTCGACCACAGACAGCCACATGGGTCCTTTCTTTCCACTTCCTAGGAACCTCGAGCCTTTTCCTGCCCTGGAATGTGTCCTTGGCTGGCTCACTGTCATCCCTAAGGTCTTCTCCTGAAAATCAGCTCCACAGAGAGCCCTGATGCCCAGGCTAATGTATGTCCACTTCTATTCTCCTTTAGCACCACACACAAGCCACAACTGATAGTTCTGTCACTTTGGTATGTCAGTGTGTATGATTCTCTGAAGTAATACTGTTTATTTTATGAGGTACCGAACCTTGTGTTGGCAGACACCAAATCTGTCTTGCCCATCAGGAGCTGGCCTAGGTCTGTTGTCTTTCCAGGGCTGGCACTCAAGTGTCTGCTGAGTATCTGAGCATCTGCTGTGGCAGGGCCTCACACAAGCTTTGCACACATGCTGACTGAGCTGAGCTGAATGGAAGGTTCTAAGATCTGTATCCCAGCCTCCACCCCTGGCACCATGAGCACAAAATTTCTGCTTAAAAATCACTTATTGAGGAACTGACTGGAAGACTCTGCCCCACCACGAGGATAAAAACAGAAAGGGATTTCCCTCTTCTGTCGTCTAGGCCAGGGCCTCCTTAGCTACAACACCTTCCACCAGGGGATGGAAACTTTGGGCCTCAGAGGGACCCCAGGGAACCCCTTTCTGCCTCCTCTAAGCATCCCACCGAGTCCCCTCACCTGGCTTCTTCTTGGCAGCCTCCTGGATTTGGATGCGCTCCAGCTCTGCCAGGCAGGGGGGCTCTGCGGGGAGAAAAGCAGCCTCTGATGGGGCCTGTTTCATGGTGCCGGTAGGACTCACTGAGCCCCTCAATACTTAGAAGCCCAGTAGGGGCTTTGCAAGGTGAAAATACCCAGGCTCTGATGCAGCCCAGCCCACAGAGTGGGATGCACTGTCCCTCTAATGTCCCCGTAATCGACACGGGATATTCAGGATAAAAATATCAATGCTGTGGATAGGCTGAGGTGCCCCAGGAAACCTAGGGCTCTTGGAGGGTGTGTGAACAGCATTCAGAAGAGGAGGTGGGGTGAACGTATAGATATCCCAGAATGAGAGGTCCTGGCGGAGCCTAAGACTCGAGGGAACATTAGATGGAAACCTGAAAGTATCTGGCTGCCAAAACTAACTTATCTGTGACCTTGAGAAGTCCTCTCTAGCTCATCTCAGCTAGAAGACTGGCAGGTAGTAAAATAAGATCAGTTCCCAGCTTCCCGCCCAAGGCTGCTAAACAGAATAGAAGGCATGAGCTTAAAAGGCCTAGGAAGTAAAATGCTGGAGAAGGCAGATGGCAATCAGGGGTAATAAAACAGATCCAATTACCTTGATTTGTGATTTACATGGTGCTGTGCACTCAGATTTTCTTGGACCAGCCTCAAAAATCTCTGAGGTGGGCATTATTGTCTCCAGTGTAGATGAAGAAACAGAACTCAGAAATATTCAGTATCTGCCCAGAGCCCCAAGTCAACATATGGTGGAGAATTAGCAGAATTCTGGGCCTTGTCCATCCATGGTGCTGTGCTACTTCCACCACAGACAACAGCCAATGGGCTGGGCAGCAGAGCCTTTGGGACCTGTTTCCCCACTGATGATGTTTGCTGCTTGGCTTAGATGCTGTTCTAGCACACATCCAGGTCTGACTCAGGGTGGCAAATGACACCACACCTCTAAACTAATGGTAAATATGTGAGCGGCACCCAAAAATGGAATCACAGAGAAACCAATGTAGCTTTGGTTCCAGAACCTCATCAAACCTTTGAAAGGCCCTCCGGAGCCCTGGGAATTTTATATTTATAGGGATTAATACTCTTTTAAAGAAGGCCTCCCAAAGTGCATAAGCTTCATTCAGCACCCACAAAATCCATACCCAGCTAGGTGCCCGCTAAGGAAGGGAGTTAAGTGCTGGATCCCTTGGTTCCAACAGATGAGGTACTTAGAAAGCACAGGAAATGGGCGGGCTAGAAGGTTCTGGGTCTGGGAAGGTGGCCAAGAGCCTGGAGCAAGGGGCAGAACCCACAATGGTGAGCCAGAGGCCTGGGTGAGGGTCACACTCACTCTCCCTCCAGAAGCAGAAGCACCACTCGGCAGTGGAGACACGGCCATCCTTGTAGGTGTCACAGGAATTGAAGAAGGGGCGGATGCAGACCTCGTACTTGTCCAGGTTGATGGCCGCCAGCTCTGTCTGGTCCAGGAAGAGGTCGGCACTGGTGTCCAGCTTGGAGAACATCCAGCCAATGGAGTCCTTGCAGCTGGCCCCCAGGCTCTTGTCTAGGCCTGCAGAGAAGGTCAAGGTTCAGATATGCTCAAGATAAACCACTCCAACCATGTACAGCCACCTCTCTACCTCTCCATCAGCCCCCACTCCTTTGTTCAGGACAACTCAGAATCTAACCACAAGTTAAGAAACTCAAGAATGGCCAAAGGTCATCATCCTCTGCCTCAACATAGAACTGTACCTATACCATTCAAAACCTTGTCTGAAAGCCCTTCAGAGAAATAATCCCTCCCTGTACCTTGGCTACCCATGTCAGGGTTTAAACTCCCTCTACCCATTGTAAGAAACTCTTGCTATTAGCTAACCTATATTTTTCCTGGTCTGATTGAAGTTTAGCCACCCTTTGCTCCAGGGTTAGCCTCTTTAAGAGGCTCAGAGTCTTGCAGCAGGGAGCACAAGTCAGGCTGGCCCCAGGACACACCTATCTCCCCATCTCCCTCCCCCACCAAGCAGAGCACCCAACTCCTTTACCACTGGCCGAGCTGGCTCCACTGCTGGCTGAGCCGTTCTGCTTGGAGTTCTCATGAAGGAGCTGAAACCAGTCCCGCAGCCGATCCCCCAGGTCAGCCAGGTCCTGACCTGTGCAGGTCTCTGCAGTTGGCAGAAGAGGGAGAAGGAGATGGAGATGAAGATGGGGTGAAGCAGCAAGCATGACCTCAGCTTGGGGTGATGCCCCATAAGCCAGGAGACTGGGCAATGGTCAGAGTGAAGGGGAATTGGAAATCGGAGGTTCTGTCTACCATCTTCCTCACTCCCCTGCACTTCTTCCTAGCACTAAAATGCACAGCCAGGGCCAGGGCCCTGCCTGCACTCCACCTCCCAGACACCCAAGCTCTCTCACAGCCCCACTGGTTACTTAGGCCTTTCCTTATTTTTGCTACTTCTCCCCACTCCATGAACCTCTCTTGCCATCCCACAGCCCAAAGAGGTACCCCGACAATCAGAGAGGGGAGGAAAGGGAGAAAGGGAGGGGTGAGGCAAAGAAGGGAGGGAACACAAGGGTCTATGGTGGTGGACTCGGGGTTCTTGGTGGTGAGCCCACTATGGCAACAACGCCTGCGGTGGGGGTGCAGATCCCATACTTCTACAATGGAAATGGTGTAAACCACTACTAACTCAATAAGAAATAATTAAAACAAAAAAAGAGGGCCTGGAAGCAAAACCCCCAGCCTGCTTGTGGCCCAGAGGTCCTCATTACCTGGTTTGCCATCGGTGGTGGAGGTGGCAGCCTGCTCCGTGGGGCATGGGCACAGGCCCTCGCACCTCACAGTCAGCTGCTTGTTGCTCAGGCACGCCTGCTGCTCCAGCTTACACTACACGAGAAGAAAGGCCCCATGGGTCCCCGCAGCTGGGGGCACCCTCAGGCCCACCATGGCAGTCACATCTGCCTTCCCCTTTGGAGACGGGAGGACAGAGCCCCACAACAGCCTGCCTTATCACTCTGGAGGCTGTGTGTATAGTGGTAAGAGAAGACAGCCTCAGGAAGGAGGTCTCAGGGAAGGGAAGGCTCCCGTGAACCCCATTCTGCATATTTCCCTTTCCCAGGATACCCGTCCCACCATCCCAGTGGTTCTTTGCCAAAACCAGCCTCTATAGTGTTCCCCCTGGCAGTTCTGGCTTCTCCCTATGTGGTAACCACTAATGAGAAGACAGTCATTGTAGCATTTTACATGACCTCACTTGGTCCCCTGCTCACAAGCTCAGAGACACCCTGGGACTCCCCCAAGGTCCTGGGAAGCCAGACTCCTGATGACCTCTGCCTCCCTACAGGACAGCTTTCTGCCCAAACACAGCTTTGCCCTCAGGTTGCCTGACACAAGGCTCTTCTCCTCTTTTCCCTCTATCAGCTCTTTTTCCTTTGCATCCCTCCTGCTTCCTCCACGCAGCTTCTGCCCTCAGCCTCTGGCTCTTCTTTCCCTGACTCCCTCTCTCCCAGGTGACCTCATCCCTTCAGGGGACTTCAGTTATGATCCACAGAGGGTGAAACTTCAGTCTTAAACTTTGACTTAAATCTTAAATCTTCACTTCACCCCAAAAGCACTCCCAGGCCCTAGAACCCAAGCCTAGCTAACAGTCAGTGCCCTCCGAGTGCCCAGCAACTCCCAGCTCTTCACTGCTGGTGGAGGCCTTCACAATCAGCTCCACCTTTCTATGTTACTTTAAAGTTCAAAGGATGTTTTCACAAAATATTGTCTCATTTAATTCTTACAAAAATCCTAGAAGGTACAGATTTGTTTCCCTAATCACCATTCCCTCATGTGCTTGTCTCATGAAGGATTATTTCCTCCTGCCCCAGAGCCCGGTACTTGCAGTGAACACTGTCCCCCTGTTCCCTCCAGGTGCCTCTGGAAAGTTCTGTCCTTCACCCCTCAACAGCAGGACAACAGAGCTTCTTCCTTCCCCAGACCTCGATCCTCTCATGGGGCTCTTACATCACTATTCTGACATGCAGTTACCTGCCTATCTGCCTCTTGCCTACCTGCACCTTTCTGAGATCAAAAGTAGCGCCTGGCTTCGACTCTCAGGTAGCTCCAGCCCAGATCTCAGGCCTCCCTGCTGTGGTTGGCAACACTGAATGCAATGACCACATCCATCTGGCCCCACATCAGTACTCAGAACCCTGGGAGACCTTGGCTGGGTTGTCCTTGCTGCTCCCTATGACCTCAGGTGCACCTCACCCCTACTCTGTCTTGACCCAGAGTTCCTCACCACTGAGCTGTAAGTGTGGCCATCCGAGCCGCAGACAGAGGCGAGCTGGGCCATGTGACAGGGCTTGCAGATGGAATCTCTGTTTCCATGGAGTTTCAGGGCAGGCTGCTTGATCCTACAAAAGGAGAGGGAAGGTGAGGCCACAGAGATGGAGGCGAAAATGAGAGCGGGATAGGGAAAAGGAAGGCACAGGACAGCTGTCCCAATGAGAAGCTGCTTCTGCTGATCTCCAGTAGTGGGAACCGCCTGCCTCCCTGCCCCTGGCTGCTCTCCCCTCACACTCCTCCAGCCCTCTCTAGGTCACTGGGGTGGAAACAAATGGGCAGGGTACAGACCCCAAGTTTCCCCTTTCCCAGGGGTTACCGAGTCCAGCAGGGCCATAGGTAGCAATACCAGGTCAACTGCAAGAGGTAAAAAGGAGTCATATTCATTCCAGGGATCAGCCCAAATCAGAGGTTACTAACTGATAGTCCTCAGGCCACATCTGGCGTCTAGACTCGTTTTGTTTAGCACCAAGGGATTTGTTTTTAATTGAGTTATTCACCAACATTTACAACATGAAAGAGTTCACATAAAAACCTGGATTCCTGGCCATCTCAGTAAAATGGAAGATAGAAGCATCCTGATCCTACACCCGCCCCCCCCCCCCATGGCCATAATCTCCTAGACTATGGCAGACACTTATGACTTGCTCCTACCAAATAGAAATGGCAGAAGTAATGTGTGACTTCTGAGATTCAGTCATAATGAATTGTGGCTTTTTCTCTCCCTCTCAGGGATGACCCGCCTTAGGGGAAGCCAGCTGCCATGTTGTAAGGACCGTCAAGTAGTTCTTTGGAGAGGTCCATTTGACTAGGAACTGAGGCCTCCAGCCAACAGCACTGTCAGCAAGCTTAGAACAACTCCTCCAGCCTCAGCCCAGACCTAGATAATGCAAACCCACCCAGCACCCTGATTGTGACAGACGTTGAGCAGAACTACCCAAAAGAACCACTCTGGATTCCTGGCCCTCAGAAACAGCATGACATAAGACATGCTTGTTATTCTAAGTTTCATTTATTTCACGGAAATAGAGAATGAACAGGAGAGACATAATCCTGCTCTTGTTCTTCAAACAAACCCCCTCCAGGGCTCCCACCTCTCTGAGGCCCTCACCTGTGCTCCAGCTTCTTGCGGCTAATGCACATGGCCCGCTGGTAGCCCTGGGCAATGCACACCTTGTGACGGCTGCACTTCACCTTCTGACAGGGGTCCTTGGTGGTGTCCAGGGCTACAGGAACACAGAGTCAGGGCACAAGTCACCTAGGAATCAGTGCCAGAGAACCCAAGAGCCCCCAGCCCCACTTCTAAGCTGGAAAGTCCCTCTCAGTCCAGTGGCCCTGATAACCAGGACTCCTCAGTTCACAAGTTCTATCCCCACTGGGACCCTACTGATCAAGGAGTCCTGAGAGCCAGGGTCAAGACTTCCCTCCAGTCTCAAGTCTTCATGGGTGTCAGTTACCTTCCCCAACTTGGGAGTGGCATGTTACCTTCATCTCCTTGCTGATTGTCCTCCCAGCTCTTGATGTAGTCGTCCTAGGGGAAGACAGAGAGAGTGGGGCGAAGAAAAGGGCTAAGATTCACATCCCAGAGCCAAGGTTCAACTCCAGGGTCAAGAGGGGAAGGCTGAGCCCCTGCTCGCATAAGCCAACTGCCATCACCCTGTGGCTGTCCAGACATACCCTGTCCACCCAAGGCCTAGCTGGATGCCTCCACCATACTCCCACACCTCTATCTTTCTAAACCCATGTTCAGAATCCCTTCCAGCCTCTCCTAGAAGTTCCTCATCCTCCCCCCACCCCCATCCCATGGTGGATGCTGCAGGGAAGATGTTGGGAGGGTGGTGTGGAGGAAGAGGAATGTGGGGTGTGCAGCTGCAGACCATTCACAGCGGAGCCCTTGTGGTACTCACCTCCACCTCCTGGGGTTCAGGAAGCAGCAGCAGGCCACGGCAAATGGAGCAGGAGAGAGGAAGAGAGAGGGATTTCTGTGTAAGGCTCACCCTCAGATCATGTGAGCCCAGGGCTCCCCATTCCTCATCAGGTAACTGTGAGTGCTGGGCAATGGTCATTGATTGTTACAGTCCTCTGACCCTAGAGCATCCTGTCAGAGGACTGTATTCCCATGTCTTCACCATAGAGTTTCAGCCTGGCCCACTCAGGCTGGCTCTAGGAGCAGTAGGCGTGAGACCCCTGGTTATGAGAGGGTACGGCCCCAGCCCTCTCCTCCAGGCCCTGAATCCCTGGACCTTCACCCCACCCAGCCCCAAGCCCGGCCCCAACCAGAACAGATGTCTGGGGCCCCACACCACCTAGGGACAGTGATTCTCACACCAGAGCTCTGGGTGCCCCGGAAACACCACTCTCTGCCTTCTGTCCCCCATTAGGCAGTCTCTTTCCCTGCCCATCATGTGAGTGAGGAAGGAAAGGCCTCTCCTCCAGGCTGCACTGGGACCACTTTTCACTGGAGGTCTGCACCTGAGGGCAGAGTTCAGATAGTAGGCTGAGAGAAAGGGGACCACCCAACATCCCTCCTAGAGTGGATGGCTTCCTCAGTTACCACAGTCCAGTTGCAAATCCTAAGTCAGAAGACCCTGAAAAGATCCTCTGAGGTTACCTGCTCCAGCCCCCTCCATGCGGTACAGCCCAGAGACAGGAAATGACCTGACCTGACCAAAGTCCCACTGGTACAGAACCCAGCCTCCTGATTTCCAACATAGACCGTGCTGGGCTACAACCCAGTCTGAGACCAAAGGCACGTGGGAGATGACTTCTTGGCCTGTTCTGACTGCAAGGGTATCCCCTGAACCCGTGGACCCCAGTGTGACCAGGGGCAGACTAGCTCCCACCTAGCATAGGTCCTTAGGATAAACCCCCAATCCTTCCGGTTTTCCCCACTTTCCTGATGAAGGCAGCTACTGGAAACCAGCAAACAGCTCCTAAGGTGCTCCTTGTGGAAATCACCAGCAGGCAGGGAGAGGGCTTCTCAGGATTGGAGGCTGAGAGTGCCAGGAAGGCAGCTGTCAGCTCCTCTGAATGGGGCTCCAAGAACTGGGGAGATGAGAGCATGAGGGGACACACTCAGCTCCCCAAGGATCAGAACTGTGCAGTGACAGGAAGCAGAGAACATACTGTGGGCTAGGGTGGAAAGGGGCCAGATGCCTGTGAGGCCTGGAAGAAAAGGGTTTACGCTCTCACACCACAGGGCACCCACAAGGAGCAGCAATGGGCATGAAGGGGAGTGAGTACCCACTGGGCTTTGAAAACCCACAGGCTCTGGAGCCTCTTTATCTCCCCTGGAATTGATAAGCATCAGAGGAACAGGCCTCTTGGGCAGAGGCCAGAAAGGGGCTAGGGTCCAAGAGGCAGCTGGCATTACCACAGAGGTAGAGCACACTGAGCTCAGGTGTGCACTTGGAGTGTGCTTCTGTACCCCGTGTGCTTCCAGGTGGCCCCGGGTGCATGCAGGCATGCTCACGACAGGTATCCTCGAGCATGCGTGCATGTGGGCATGCATGTCCCTGTCTATGAGCATGGATGGGTATACATGTGTAAGCAGCAGTGAATGCTGGGTGTGCAGAGGAAACAAGGACACTCGAGGCAGCTCACCCAGTACCAGATGGTTTTTATCCAGAAATGAAGTAACAAAACCCACTTCTGTGAGCAGCCTCCAGTTTTCACACTTGGGAGCCGAGGCCCTCCCTCAGGTTTGGCCTTCTTGCCTCTTCCACAGGAGAGAGGGCAGATGGGAAGAAAGGAAGGCAGGAAGGGGGGAGGGTAAAAGACCAGCAGACTTCTTCCCTGCAAGGCTCTGCTTGTGCTGGCTCTGCTCTATCTGTCTGCTTTTCAAGTGCCTCTCTTTGTCCTTCTCCCTCTGACTCTTTCTCCCTACCCCTCCACTCCCACACATGTCCAAGCAGCCAAGTGCCTTGTGTCCTTGGGCCCAGGCGCAGGCAGGAGGAGCCCACAGGGAGGGCTTCTGGAGAACCTGGCCTGGATGGACCCCTGGATATTGGACAGCCCAGCCCAGGCTCCTGACTCAGCGCCTATCCAGTTCCACAGAGTCCTGAGCTGTCCTGAGTCTGTGGAGATGACAGAGCAGCTGACAGGGAATGAGGTACCACGCCCCTCATTTGCTAAGGCTAAAGGGAGCCAGACCAGGCCTGCCCTTCTCCGGGAACTCTTCTAGTGAGGTGTCCTCTGCCATGTTCACTCCTCCACAGATGGGGAATGGAGGCTGAGAGTGGCCAAGTGGCGGGGGCCAGGGCTGGAAGGATTGAGGCTAAAGTAGGCACTGACTTCCACTTTCAGGCTTGGTCTTCCCACCAGCTCCATCACTCTCTGGGAGGGGAGTAGGCATGAGGTTGTGAAGAGGAGGGGAAGTGGTTGTAAGCAGAAGCATCTGAGACTCAGTACAAAGTGGGTTAAGACCAAGAATTTCTGGTTAGACCACTGTGGAGAGCTGTGTGGAGATTTCTGGACCTACTAAACATAGAGCTTCCATATGATCCAGCAATTCCACTCCTAGGTATTTACCCAAAGGACACAGAAACATCCATTCCAAAGAGCACCTGCACCCCTATGTTTATAGCAGCACAGTTTACAATAGCTAAGCTTTGGAAACAGCCCAAATGCCCAAAAATAGATGACTGGATCAAGAAGATGTGGTACATATACACCATGGAATATTACTCAGCCTTCAAAAAAGATAAACACATGCAATTTGCAGCAACATGGATGGCGCTGGAAGGGATCATGCTCAGCGAAATAAGCCAAAAAGAAAAAGAAAAATACCGGATGGTCTCACTCATAGCAGGAATCTAGAAAACTTAAATAAGGGACCAGGAAAAAGAATAACTATAAGAAAGTGAAAATCAAAATCAACAAAAAACTATGAACCAGAGACACTTTTTGGGGGGTGGGGGGTGGGAGGGGAGGGATTGGGGTCAGAATGGGGGGGTTGCAATTGTATGGGGAATATAAAAATAAAATTTATTATTTAAAAAATAAAAATAAAAATAAAAAGTATTCAACCACTAAAAAAAAAAAAAAAAAAAAAAGAATTTCTGGTTAGAAATCCAGGGGAAAATAGATTGGGGCAAGAGGGATTTCTAAGAAAGTGGCTTCTACCATCAACTCCTTTGTTAGAGCTCTGGGAGGGAGTCATTTTCACGCCATCTCCAGCCCCCAGTGAGGATAAGTTCCTTTCTGGGATTTAGCCTGTAGGGGCTGAGTCCCTTCTATATACGGTGCTGCCCTGGGTTCTAGTTAAGTTTTTTGTCTCCACTGGGGGTGAGGGATATGGAGGGAGACCTGAGTGGTTTTGAATCCCAGGACTCTCACACTCAGGAGAATGGGAGCAGCAGTCAGAGAGGAGAGGGGCTCTGGAGCCACACAAAATCCCCATGCTTCCCCTTACGAAGAATGCATCTTGACCTTCAGATGCTCAGCATCTATCTCCTGGGACTACTTGGAGATCAACAGAGGTGGACTGTGGGATGCCCAGTGTCCAGAAAGCACTCAACAAATATAAGCTGCTACAGCAGAAGCACTAACTATGGATTTTGGGTGGAGAGTGTGGGAGAACAGGAAATGGACAGGGACAAGTCACATGAGGAGCCCCTGCAAGTGGAGAAGAGGTCACCAAGCAGAGAGCAGAGACCACTGGGGTGTGAGGGGAGTTGCCCCAAGCAGGGTAGGAGTGATGAGGAGTGGCAGATGGGCAGAGCCCAGGAACACACCAAGGGGCCCCTGAGGCCCAGTATGCAGGCAGGTCCGCACTACAAGCTGATAAAGAGGTGTTTGCTGTCAAGTGTGAATAATGCTTTTCAATCAGCAGTGTCTATTTATGGCACCCAAGTGGGCTCATTAGCATTTGTGAGAAATGGTCTGATACAAGCCCCAGGGTGCTCTCAGGAGAGGCCCAGTTCTATCTTGGCTCTGTTGCCTATTGATGGATCGAGTCCTCCCCTGAGAAAAGGGGATTTGGGAGAGCCCATCTCCAGTGCTTTGGGGTGAGGCCAGAGGGGTGATGGGACCATAGGCTGACATTCAAATTTCTAACTGAAGGCAGAAGAGGCCATTTTGCCTGGTTTGCACAGCCAGCTGTGGCCACCCGACCTCCGGAGGCACTCAGCACAGAGCAGGCAGTGGAACAACTTTAGAAAAGTATAAGTGCACTTATATTTTCTAGTGTCTTTAAATTAAGCCCTCTTCACATATTTTTATGTGCCTATCTTCCTTTCACCCTCAGAGTCCTGAGAAGCAGGCAGGGCCAAAAGGATCAATCCTATAAATGAATGAGAAAACTGAGGTCAAGATTGGCAGAGAACTGGCCAAGGATCACAAGACAGATGAAGAAGTGGATCGGGATTTCCCATCTGGACCCGGCTCTGCTCACACACAGGTTCACACATACACATCTAGGTCCACGGGGAGGGAAGTGGGCAGCTTGCACTGAGAAGAAGCACGGAGGAAGAAACAGAGAGAACACTGGAGCAGGACTCTGAGATGTCTGCTCTAAACTTGGCTCACAAGGGGTCCTCAGCAAGTCACTTTCCCTTTTGGGGTGAGTCCTCCTTTGTAGATACCTCTCACTTATGTCTTCACATTAGAATCGCTCTTGGAGCTTCCTAAACCTTCCACTGCCCAAGCACCACCTGAGCCCACTGGAATCTCACGAATGGGCAGGCTCATGCAGCGCTCCTGCTGAGTCTGCCCACCGTGCCAGCTCTCAGGTCTGAGGTCCTTCCAGCTTTGCATCTTTTATCAAATGCTCTTCTTATTTCTTGGGTGTCTTCACCTCTCACGTGGGTCCTCGACAATGAAAAGGAGCAGCTATGCTTCACCAGGCGGTTTCTCAATTTCCAAGGAACAAACCAACTCACTGGAACCCAGTATCCTGACCTCCAATACCAAGCCT